TTAAAACTTGTTTTGAACCATTTTTGTCATCTGTAGTTTGATTTTGAGTAGGGGAGGGGAAAATCGATTAAAATCGGAAATCGGATTTTTTGTGAAAAAATCAGATTTTATTTTTAGGCCATATCGCCCAGCTCTACTTTAAAGCCTATTTTTTCAAAACTGAATGTAATTCATGACATGAACTTTGACCTTGAAAAAAACATATGAAAACTACCCTTTCTGTGCTTTCCAACAAGCACCAGCTTAGCCATTTAGCTGTAACAAAAAAGTTATAACTCAAAACACTGAATTATCATTTTCTGCATATCTCAAATGGAATTAAAAAATAAACAAAAAATATTTCTGAACTCTTTAATTCACATGCCAAATTTCACCAATATCAAACCACAGGGAACATCGAGTCTATCCCAGGAAAGACTGGGAAGAAAATAAGAATCTCCTGGACAGGATTCCAGGGCAGCTACACACAAGAGAGAGGCAGGGGAGTATCCCGAATTTAATAGTGTAAAAATAATTCCACTTAAAGCAACCTTGTGATAACCTCATCTAACCCAAAACAGCGTCAAGTTTTACACCCTCCAAAAATCAATTAGCTTAATGTGATTACTTCTGCAGGAACTACATAATATGTTAAAAGAAACATGCATAAATCAAGCAACCTGCAGGGCAGTTGGAAAGTTTTAGAAAGCATTTCTTTACTCTGTCTCTCTGTGCATTTAACATGCATATTAACATGCATGTAGCTCTGCAGAGGGATAAACAAATGCTGCAGAGTTTAATCAGCAGCCTTCACTTACTCAGCAAAGTCCTGGGGGGTGTTCCACAAAGCAGGATCTCTGAGTTAGTCGAATAAACTTAAGGTAGAAGTTATGATTGTCCAATAGGAATGACTTCTAGCTTAAGTTAACCTGCTAACCTTCGTCCACTTCCGGCTTCGTGGAACACCCCCCCCCCTACATTGCCCTTATTAGATTCCCGGGGAAATTACGTCAACATAGCGGTGCTCATCCTGAATTCTGGTTTAGTTCCACATAATGTCAAATTAAGTCTAACTGTGAAGCTGATTTTTCTGTCACCACGGTGGGCTTGCTAATTGGAAATATATATATATATATATATATATATATATATATATATATATATATGTGTGTGTGTTAAAACTCACTGCAGCATTTGACCTTGTACTCACTTATTAAGTATCCGATACATACATCTTCCTTAATTCTTAAATTGTACACAGGCAAGTAAACAACTGGTCCTAATTTGCCCGAAAAATAAATATCCTCGTATCATTTTGAAAGGCAGACACAAATGAGAAGGACCGCTGCCACGGGACGAGGACAGGTTTATCATCGTGTAACAAAAGATTTATTTTGCCGTTAAATCACAATACATCTACTGGGCTGGTGGTCTTTTACCTACTACAGCTGCCCATCCAAAACGTGCTATGAGTATAGTTTTGATTTTCGGAATTTGTTTTACAAAAGCAAGTCTAACGTTATTTTAAGCAGGATGCTGAGCTGAAAATGCCGCAGGCTGGTTATAAATTTTCTCTTGCCAAGGTCAAAATACGTAACGGGGGTCTCTGAAAGTGAGGTTTAGAGCAGTCCCTGATAAAATGACTGGAATTCCAAAGATGCGTAGCATATGCTAAGCAAACGTACACTACTGTTGTTTACGGGCATGCAAAACAAACGGTGGACCGGAAGACAGCTGTTAACTTACCTCAGATGAATAATAATAATAATAAATATGAAAACTTACTCTGCTTATGCGTCGAAGAAGCAACGCAAAACTTCCCTTAACTTCAAAAAAAATTCCCAACGCCTGAAATATGCTACTGGTCGTGTGATCTGTACGTATCGCCAGGGGAAGCCATAGTGCGTCCGGTCAGTTCACGATCCATAGATTCCATACCCGAAAGCACGATCTGTTCTGCACATGCGCGTGATTCCGCACTAGGAAACGCAACCAATTCCTGCCCGATTTGTACCACGCATGCGTACATTTTACGGTATAGGGACACCGCGTTTACGTAACCGGAAATAACAGGCCGTTCTCTGCATGTCTGTTCAAACAACATTTGGCGAAATCTATTTGATTTTATCTGTATTGTTGGAGTACGCCGTCTCCACCGGGTCCGTGGATGAGAAGAGATTCACAGCTGACACGGGGAGAAGTTGCAAATCACCGGTTTATTCTCTGACAGATTGCAATCCGGGAGCGGCCGTCTGACATACATTCAGCATGTACATGAGGGAGCTCCGCCATATGTATCAGCTGTATCCCTTTTAAAGCCCTTTGGGCATCTCCCCCCCTTTCTCGGTACCTTCCGTCTACGTGACAACCACATGTTTGACACTTGCTCTCGTTAGTCGGTTCGTAGTTGTCCTTCTGGAAGGCTATAAGATAAGTAGGGGCCGCTGATGTTCTCTGTCGCCCCCCCTATCTTTTCCGATTAGGTAACCTTGCCTTGCCGGCGCGCCAGTCAGTTCAAGTTTTGATTAGTTACAGCCTTATAGAATCATTCCCTTTATTTCCCCTTATAGAATTATTCCCTCAATTTCCCCCTTTTGATCTCCGCAAGGAGATCACCCTGATTACGCTGATTGGCAATATTTTGCCTTATTTATGAAATTTTGCATTCCCCTTTTGATCTCCGCAAGGAGATCATCCTATTGGCGGGGGAGGTGTAGTTCAAACTAAGCTGTCCAAATGACCTTTGCCTGTCGGGCCGGAGAGGCATCATCTGCGCATAGGTGTCATCTCAATGAAAACCAACAAAAGTTCCGATCTCATGTATTTCTAATATGTCTCATCATTTTCATGCATGGTTTCATATCACAAGTCTAAATGTCCCTTTCTTTTGCGCTTTCTTCCGTTTCTCGTTTTTTAAACAAAAAGTCAGGGAGCGCAAGCGAGAAAGCTGGCAGCGTAAACAAAGGAAAACATTATCAAAAGACTGATCATGTGTTTGCAAGTTATAAACTTTACTTTTGAAATGACATTTCTTTTGCTTCAGTTAGTTTTTTTTCCTCGAAGCTTTGTTTTTGCTTGATGTCAAAAAAGTTTTGCTTGATTATATTGGCACAAATCTGATTCCATATGTATGGATCATTTGTATGGACAACTAAATAAAAATAGATAAAAAAACACCACATGCGTGAACACGAAAAAACTCGTGCATTTTTTTTACCTTCCTCTTTAGGTCTCGCCTTCTTACATAACGTCATTGGTCTACTTTGTGAGAGCAAGTGCGGTCACTGCTGGGTGGGAGTTTTTCCAATTCAGTCTTATTTATTTTACATTATCCCTGCCTAACTAGCTAGAGCTACCTAGTGAAGGGTTAATTATCCATGAATGTAACTAACAATTTTATTACCAGATGGCCTTTAACCCAATGAAGAAATAGCTATAACTAGAGTCCATATAAGCTAGACTAAACAAGCACATTTTTAGTCTAGACTTTAATATTGAGAGTGAGCCTGACATACCACAGTACATAGCACAACAATGAAATGTGTCCTCTGCATTTAACCTATATGTGACAATGTGACATAGCATGGGGCACCTAATTCAGCGCCTGGGGAGCAGTGCTTGGGGGTGGTACTTTGCTCGCTGGTCGGGGATTTGAATCTGCAATTTTACAATTACAATTGCGCTTCACTAACCATCAAGCCACCAATGTCCATCATATAACTGTATCATCAGCATAACAATGAAACCCAACACCATGATTTCTAAGAAATATTACCAAGAGGTAGCTATATAAAGTGAACAGTAGAGGGCCCAGCACTGATCCCTGTGGCACATCATTTTTTACTTTAGTGGGCTTGGAAGATTCATTGTTCATTGTTAACTTTAAGTTAAATGGGAGCGAAACAAAGAGAGGTGTCCCCTTAATGGCAACCAGATTCTAGCCAATCAAAAATAATATTATGGTCCACAATATGGAATACTGCATTTAGATCTAGTAATACCAAAGATATACACTCGCTGTCAGAAGCCATAACCAGATCATTTATTGCATTCCAAAAAGCATTTAAGTGTTCCATGGACACGATTACTGATACCGTCCCCTTCATAAGCGGTTTTTCTTTTTTTTTTATCAATGACGTTATGTGAAACATTGGCATAATCTAGCAGATTAGGCGTAACATGAAAGAAACCCAATCTTTAACATGGCCAGAATAGCCTAGCCTACGCCTATATGTAACATGTGTCATACTATTACATTTACTGTAGACGCTATAGTAGGTCGCTGTTTCGCAGCGTTTTTTACAGATAATGATCACTGTTTTGTCTTATTGAATGACATGCTGCCTGCGCACCCTCCCTCTCAATGCTGCATTATTACACAGTGAAGTGCGCGGATGCGGTTCACGAGGTATTAATAACACATCCGTTAAGGTAATTAAGAATGCACTTCGCCCGTAGATATTTTCAGCTGCTGATTTTTTTTTAAGATGAATATTTAGCTTCGAAATTTATTTTTAGCTTTAAAAAAATTACCGAAATCCGGACCTCGGTGACCTCATATCTGGCTACGGCCCTGATTGGGAGTGCTCCTCAGCTCCTCCATTTCCTGCTCGCTGAATAAGAAGGCTGTCAGAACACACACCCTTTTTCTGCTTTACGATGCATTTATGTAATACTTTTTGTTTTTCTCATCTTCCTTTATTTTATTTCATTTTAATTTATTTGTCTTCTCCCCTGGCGTAACTACTGATTTGTATGCACAAGATGTTTATACTTGATGTATACTGTGTACTTTCATTCAATAAAAAAAAAGAGTGCTCCTCAGACAAAGACATATACACTCAAGACGAACTTACACGGACAAGCAGACACAGGACAGCACATACACCCAGATGGAAACTGTAACCCAAGGTGAGTTTCATTCATGAGTTTTAATCCAACTGAGTGTGAGAGACTTACGAACAAACAGACGGACGATCGCGATCTTCCCGGGTTCTTTCACGTTCATTTTTAAATGGCCCGCATTCTTCCCAGCAGCCTCTGCGCCATCTGAAGCGTTATACCGCCGGGCAGCTGGAAAATGTAGTACATTTGTTTAAGTAGCGCTGCTCCAGCCAGTTTCTGTTTACTGGAGGGACAGAAGGATATTTGCATATCGATTCAGATAATGTGTATTTCGACATTTATCTTTTTCACATCATATCAACTGTTTACAGTGCAAAGTTAAAGTCGGAATAGGTTTTTTGTATATAATTCGTTCTACTCTTACTCGTTCAGCAAAACTGGAACTTGTTAAAAAATCACTATTCTTCCCATGCTTAATTATGGTGATGTCATTTACAGGTCAGCTTGTAAGAGTGTGCTGCAGAAGCTTGATTTTCTTTACCATTCTGCTATCCGATTTGCTATAAATGCTCCCTTCAAAACTCGCCACTATACGCTTTATTCTTCTGTAAAGTATAGCCTTCTTTACACACATCGAAATATACATTTACACATGTTCTTCTATAAAACTATTCTAGGTTTGTCTCCGCATGTCACCTGATGCAAAAATCATTTGTTGCTTACAATATCCATACTGCCAAACTCATATTATTGAGAGTCCACAAAGCGAACACGTTTGGTTTATCGATCATTTCAGACTGCTGCCGCCAGAGACTGGAACACTTTGCAAAACACATAAAAATTAGATTCTTGTTTTGTCGTTGCTAGCTTTTTTTAAAAAAAAATATAAAAGACTCTCTCAAAGATATATGTAGTTATTTCGTATCTGAATATAATTAATGAAGAAAACAATTGCATGCTTATGCTAGATATTTTGTATTTGTATTATTGTGTTTGTATTGTTCATGTGTATCTTTATGTCATTATCCTTTGTCTTCAAAAGGTTCTTTTGCCGTTTTTGCCATCGATGTAAATAAGAAATTGTTCTTAGTGGCTAATTGCCTGGAAAAATAAAGGTTAAATAAATGACAAAAAAATATAGCCAAGTCCAAGGAAGGATTCAGACAAAATGCACTCAAGGCTGGGATGAGGCCAACATCAGTTTGAGTGGACCAGTCTCAAGACCAAAACCGAATATTGAGAATTCCAGCTCTGGTAAATAGTAAGTGCTGTAACCATGTAATTTTTTACTGTGGAGTGTGTGCGTTTGTGTGTACCCTGATTGCGAGTATAGTGTGAATTATTTACTTTCATGTCTCTGCTGCTGCTAGTGCTAGACTAGTGCTGAGCTTTTATTAAAGACTAAACCTCCATTTTAAAAGCTGTTGTCTCCTTTATTAAAATGACCTACACACTCACTACAACATATAAAATGTTCTGAAGCACAAAGGAAAGGATTCATTAAATTCAACCATAAAATTTTCCTTCATTAAGTTTTTCAACTGCAACTTTTTTTTACAAATTATACGGTTTCCAACATTTATGGGACAACATATATTGTAAAATGCCAAGATTTTGAGTCCGGACAATCTTTGTAGAAATGATCAAACTTTAAACAAACAGCAGCATATCTATCCATGACACCACTAAAGCTATTGTTGATTTTTTTGTGCACAAATTATGCAATAATTTATATACACAAGAGCTTTTGCTAAGAGATGGGTAGACTTTGCTCCTCATTATTGAAAGAGTAGTTTAATTTGAGAAGTGCTAGCCTACAGTCCTGTATTTAGTCATTCAATTACCCCCAGTTTTGAATCTGGTGTTACACAGTGAAAGGCAGGCCTTCCAAGCCAAACCGCAGTATTACACAGTGTCAGGCAGGCCTACCAAATCAAACCACAGTGTTACCATGTCAGACAGGCCTACCAAGCCAAACCACAGTGTTACCATGTCAGACAGGCCTACCAAGCCAAACCAGTGTTATGTAGTGTCAGGCAGGCCTACCAAGCCAAACTGCAATTACATTAGTGCTGCACTGTCCTGGATTTTTGTTGCTGGGCTCTTCGGTGGTTGATGGCCTTGGTGCTCACACGCAGCTTGCGCAGACGCAGGGTGCGCAGCCGCAGCTGCAAGTCTTTAGGCACCTTTTTATCCTTAGCTAGGATCTCGCGCAGCTTTTGTCGAGGTGTCTTGATCAACCAGAAGTCATAGACGGTAGGACGGGGCTCATTTCCCACATAACACCTGCGCACAGAAGGGAAATAGCCCTCTGCGTGCACCGTCACCTTGTACTGGCCAGGATTTAGCAGACGCCAGTAGTCTCCATCTAAGGCTGGGGAGAGAGGCGGCTCAGCGATACGAGAAATACCACTGCGAAAAATACATCCACATTATCAAAGGGCTTTAAGGTATAGGTAAGGCTGCTAAACCTGATCTTATATCATGGTCCAGGTCTTCCACTTTGATTACAGCATCTGCTATTCCAGCACCTGTATTCTTATCTCTCACCACACCTTTAATTCCCCGGTGAACCTTTAAGGACAAAAGAAAGGACAGAAAATATTCATGATAAAGTTAATTATTTAAGTCGGCCTGCTTAAGGGTCAGGAATGATATTGCAGCAGTTGGAAAAACAGTGTTAAAGCAGGACAGCACAGTAAATGGGAGTCACCTGCTCCATGTAGAGTAACAGGGATTCCTTGTTGTTCTCCCATTCATGAGGAAGCTCACTGGCGTGGGGGAACTTGTCACAGGATAGCTCTACTGTCACCTCGAAGCAGTTGGTGTGCAGGTAGCTGAAGTCATTCATACCTGTAACACAGGCACAAAAAAACTCAATAGCATTTAACAGCCGTAATACTGAGTGTATACATTTTTATTGAACTAAAGTCGGACAGCAAACCCACTGCCAGGTAAAGTGTGCCAGTCTGCGCCGTTGATGATGTTGTTGTGCTGCTGGAAATCCTCATAGTGGCAGATGCGGCGCTCAGGATTGGCCATTGCCCGGTTGGTGCTGGCGTAGACTGAGGCCAGCCAGCGGAAGAAGCCATCATCGGCCGTGGGCGTGTTCTCCTGGGGGATCCAGTGCCGGGTGCAGTCAAAGGGGTAGGTGACTACCATCTCACCCCCATGCAGGTTGGCGCTCAGCACAAAGGGGATATCCTGCATCCAGCTGATGACTGCACGGGTCTCTGGGGCGACCTAAGTCCAGAAACAAATCTGTGTTTGGCTGAATGTAGCAGCATTAAATGTGGAGATTAGTTGTTAATGGAGTGTGCAGTCTGGTGCCCACTAGTGGTTGTTTGTTAATAAGCACCATACAGGAGCGTTTGTGCCACCCTGTGTATAGCACAGTATAGCAAACAGCAAATCTCACTTCACATGTTCCCTCACTATATAACCGATAGTGACAATCAGAGGATAAATGGGCCGTTTCCTGCTCTCGCTATGTCTTTGATATGCTCTGAAACAGAACATAATCTATAGTCAGAAATTCACTTTATTTAATCAGCAAATTCCTTTTGACAAGTGTAGAAGTTTACCTTAAGACAATACTGTGTTTATAAAACAGCTGATACTGATGTATACTACTAACGAAATCCCTCCATGCGTAATTGTTTATTCAGTGCAGGGTCACAATGACTGCGAACATTTGTTGGCAAATGTTAATCATGGACATTTTGAAAAGAGACACAATGGGGAGCAGGCGGCTGGTTGGGGAGGGGTGGCTGGTAGGGGAGGGGTGGGGAGCAGGCGGCTGGTTGGGGAGGGGTGGCTGGAGG